AGTACGAACACTTGAAACCCCAATGCCGATGTTGCTATCAGAAAATTTACTAATGGAACAAATTTTCGAAGAAAAGGATTCACCATCGTCGAACTTAAAAAGAAACAAAATTTTTTTTAATGAAAGATTCAATATCAAAAGAAAATACCAGTTGAAAATTCAAACTCACTCGACAAAAGAATTTTTCTATTTTGTTTGTCTGTCAAACGTACAAGAAGGATTTCACCACTGAATCGTTTTTGCACAAAACTACAATAATGTTCAATTTAGACGTGAAAACGAAAAAAATGCAATCAATTTAAACTTTGAATGATGTTTCTATTTTGTTAATAGCAATATTCTCTCAATCAACAATACATTTACTAAAAGAAAGTCAGTTTTGTTTGAAAAGGACCTTGATCGAGAAGCATTCACTTATTCTGATTCTTATCCTTCGAGTGCATGGCAACATCACCTCACTGAATGAATCATTCTTCTCGTTGCAATTGTGTATTAACATCAACCAATTGAATAACAAACATTGATAGATGGTGCTATCCATAAATAACATCAATCCATCATGTTCAATAATCTAAAACTTCAACTAGAGTAAAAATCTTGCAGAATCTATCAAAAACAATTTTTAACAAATATTTTTAGTCTAAAATTTGATCAAAACTCTAGTTAATAGCGAATAAAATTCTTCATCATCATAAGATTGATTTTCTTCTTTGCATTTATTCTTTTTTATCTGAATTCATATAGCTTTTGTGACTATGCAACCGAAGGAGAAACGATGGGACAAACATACTACTGACATCTTTAATGTTGGCGAATTTTTTCAATTTCACCGTCCGTCAATGTTTATAGAACGCTATTTAGTTTCATTTTTGGTTCCCAACAGTTCGAATTATTACTATGGTTAAGATAGTAAAGAGACGATCGAATTACTGTTAATAGCAGAGCTTTGAAAGGAATGGGACGATCCTATCCCATCTCACGGGACATTTTATTTAGTTATTCGTTTTTCTAATGACGAGAGTCGTGTGGGTTTCCTTCTTTTCTAATTTTGAGAAGAGTAGGGATATATATATATATATATAGAAACAAAGAAGTTATTTGAACTTATCTTTGTCAAAATAAAACCGCAAATGAAGAAGTAAAAACTAAAGAATCCCTACTGAAGTATCCTATCTCACATGCATAAACTTCCTGAGCAAAAAAGTCATATCTTATGGATAAATATTGCGATCTACACATTTCATAAACATAAGGAAAATTCTATGCACTTAAGTAAAAAAGAGCAGTTTCGAGTTCAAATCACTTTTCAGATCGAACATTTTCCTTTTAAAAATGTTCGACTTGTAAATAAAATATCTACTGTCTCACCCTCGAGTTTTAAAGAAATTTTTTCATCATACGTGCAGTTTTCTTGAGTTTTTTTGAATGAGGAAGTCATATGTGGTTGACGAATCTGGATATTTGTAAAAGAAGCGAACACCCAAAGAACACATGGAAACTCACACAAACAGTCATGAAGACTCACGAACAACCAACAAAAGTCAAATGTGTGTTCTAAAAGCAAACTCATATAGAACTATGTACCGATTCAACATTCTCAAAAAATATGAACATTCAAAGTCAAGTCAATAGCTACACGAACAGCCCTTAATGTTCACAAACATCTAAACAAGCCAGAAAATTTTATCTACTGTGGGTGTGGATGTGGACGAATTGAGGACACATCCACATTCCCACATCGATACTCACACCCTGACGAAAGTAAATTAGGACTGAGGAATCCGAATCTGAAATCGGTTTCTCGAAATTTTGAGTTTTAATTTTTTTTGGTCAGGTAACAGGTTTTTAAGAAAATAACGATTTTTTTCTATAAAGGTTGACAAAAGTAAATCGGAATCGGGAAATTCGAAACTGAAATTAATTTTTCGAAATTTTTAGTTTGGATTTCCTGCAAAAAAATCGTTTTTTATATAGAAGTCACTTTTTCCTAAAAAATTTTATATGGAAAAATGGAACTCAAAATTTCGAAAAGCCGATTTCAGATGCGAATTCGTCGACTCTGGTTTCTTTTCATCAATCTTTATAAAAAGTCGTTATCTGCTTAAAAAATTCTTTGTCTGACCAAAAAAAACTAGAACTCAAAATTTCAAAAAACTGATTTCAGATTCGGATTCCCCAATTCCAATTTCCTTTCGTCAACCTTTATGAGAAATCATTATTTTCTTTAAAAAATCATTTTCTTCATGAATACCGACTTGGACCGATGGTTATACCGACGGTTATCGTCACCGTTCCATCCCTACAAATATGTGTATCTTGTTAAATCTTGCCTAATTAAATACTTTTTCGTAGCAATTATTTTCAACTTTATATTGTTGTTTATACGTGAGTGTTAAAAAATGAAACACCTTTTTAAGAAATATTATAGCGCCACCAATATGAGAAAAATTGACGAATAAAATTTCTACAGTTACCGCTCCGCTCGCTAAAATGATTTTCTAGCAGTGATTGTCATCGTTGCTATTTTGAGATTTTCGTCATCCTTCGTGCTGCCTGCTTCTTTTCTAAATATGTCAAAACTGAAATTTGATTTCAGTTGTTGAAAATCTTTTCAACTGATCAGTTCAAATATTTACTGCGTGAAACTATGTCGAATAGTATGCGGTAGAATATATTTTCGAAAAAAAAATTTCCTTCATCATTTAGAGTGTCAAGGAGAAGGAGACATTAATCTTATGGCTTATAACTGTATAAATGAAGTGATGAAAAACAAGGCATACACCTCTCTTAAAAAAACGAAGATTTTCATTCGATATTCAAATATAGTGGTGCTAGATTTATGAACTTGTCGAATAGTGTCGTTTGAAAGAAATCTTCTTGACTTATTAATGTTGAAAGGAGTCTTACATCATATCTACTCATTGTGTTACCTAAATTAGATTGAGTCGAACTATTAAGGGCAAGTGCTAAAGTACTTGCGAAACATTTCATCATCGATCGTAAACTTGCACAAGTTATTTAGCGATAACATGTGGGTGTTTTAGTAATAGCAAGCACTGGTGATAATAAATATACGTGGTTTTTTTTTAATAAAAAAGAAGCACACTTTATTGACTAATGCTGCATTCTGTTATTGTTTTTTCTCTTCTAGTAGAACCATTTTCTTCAAGCTGATAAGAGAGAAACAAAAATGAGGAAAAAGAAAACAAGGTCACAGAATTGATGATGCAAAGAATATATGTTTAATTTCAGATGCCAACAAGACCACCGAATCCAAGTCCGTTTCTGAAAGCTAGCAAGTGTTCCCGTCTATTTCTAGAGTAAGTAACTTTGTTATTTGTCCGAATGATTGTAGAACATAATCTATTCGTAGATGGGTATCTCCATTGATTTCAAAATGTCGTAAACAAGGTACACTTGATGTTAATGATCTCTATGAACCACTTCCAGATTGTGAAGCAGCAACACTAACAGATAAACTTGAAGCAAATTGGTTAGTTGAAATTAAACGAAATCCTGATAGACCAAGTTTGATTCGAGCTACATTACGCACTATGAGATGGAAACCATTAGTCAATAGTCTTATTTTCATTCCTTCCGTAAGTCTAATATTCGAATTAATCATGTGCATGTTGCAATTCATATTTGATAGGAACTTCTCAAAATTAGTCAACCACTTTTACTAACATTTCTGATGAGATTTTTTGAACCATGTTCTATGATGCCAGCTTGGCATGCTTGGCTTTTAGCCATGGGTACAATTTTTGTAGCATTTTGCTCTAGTGTTATTCTCAATTATGTAAGTCTTGTTT